TGTTGGTGAGATGTGTTTCTTGTAGGCAGCAAATAGATGGGTTTTGTTTTTTAATCCATTCAATGAGTCTATATCTTTTAACTTGGTAATTGATTCTATTTTCATTCCATGATACTATAGATAAGTAATGACTTGGCTCTGCCATTTTCCTGTAAATATTCCTATTGTTTACTTTGGATTTCCTTTGTACTTTTACTGGGAGATTTTCTGCCTTCACCTTCTATCATAGTGATGACCATATTTCTGTGTTTCTGTGTGTAGCTCATCCTTAAGCATCTTTTGTAAGGCTTGATGAGTGTTGACAAATTCTTTCAATTTCTGTTTGTTATGGAACGTGTTTATTTCACCTTCATTCATAAATGAGAACTTTGCAGGGTACAGTATTCTTAGTTGACTTTTTTTCTCCTAAGACAAGGAGTATATCTTGCCATTCTTTTCCTAGGCCATAGGGCTTCTGATGAGAAGTCAGCTGTGAGTCTAATTGGAGATCCTCTGAAATTAATCTGGCATTTCTCTTGTATACATTTTTGAATGTTTTCTGTATGTTTTACTGTGGAGAGTTTGACTACAATGTGTTGTTGTGAAGATGTTATCGGGTCATGACTATTAAGAGTTCTATGTGGCCAGCACCGTGGCTCACTTGGCTAATCTTCTGCCTGCTGTGCCGGCACCCCGGTTCTAGTCCCAGTTGGAGCACCGGGTACTAGTCCTGGTTGCTCCTCTTCAAGTCCAGCTCTCTGCTGTGGCCCGGGAGGGCAGAGGAGGATGGCCCAAGTGCTTGGGTCCCTACACCCACATGGGAGACTGGGAGGAAGTACCCGGCTCCTGGCTTCGGATTGGCACAGCGCTGGCCATAGCGGTTATTAGGGGAGTGAACAGCGGAAAGAAGACCTTTCTCTCTGTCTCTCTCTCACTGTCTATAACTCTCTCTCTCTCTGTCTCTGTCTCTCTATCTCACTGCCTGACTCTGCCTGGGAAAAAAAATGTTATATGTGCTTCCCATACTTGGACATCCCTTTCTTTCTCCAAGTTAGGGAAGTTTTCTCTAAATATTTCACTAAAAAGGCCTTCTAATCCATTCTCTCTTTCCATGCCTTCAGGAGCTCCTAACACCCATAGTGTTGGGTTGTTTGATAGTATCCCATAAATCTCCCACACTGTTTTTTAGTTCCCTAATTTTTTCTTGTTTTATTTGGTCTGACTATAAAATTTCCAGGGATTTGTCTTCTTATTCGGATATTCTTTCTTCTGGTTTACCAAGTCTGTTGTTAAGGCTTTCTACTGCATATTTTATTTGATTTATTGAATTCTTCATTTCCAAGATTTCATTTTGATTTCTCTAAAATCTCAATTTCATGGGAGAAATTTTTTTTTCATGTCATGTAGATTTCATTATTTCATGGATTTGCTTCTGATTACTTTTAAGTAATCCTATGATCAGTTTTTTGAAATTTTTTCTGGCATTTCCTCAATCTCTTCATGTTCATATTCTAGTGTTGAAGTGTTGTTGTGTTCCCTTGGGAGTTTTATGTTGACTTCCTTATTCTTGTTTCTTCAATTGCTGCATTTATTTTTAAGCATTTGTGGAGATACTTGTTGGTTTGTTTTTGTTGTTGTTTTTCCCTCTCATGGTTTTTATCTTTGGACTGTTCCTCTGTGGCTTAGTGGAACATCTGCTTTTTCATGACTATCCAGAGGTGTGTGGTGTGTGTGGCCCAGAAGTCTGTTCAGTGCTCCATGATGAAGGAAGTATCCAAGGTGACACCCAAGTTGGGCATGCTAAATCTCCTTTTTTTTTTTTTTTTTTTAATCAGGGACAAAGGTTTGATCAGCTTTGGTGTATTCTCACACTCACCTCCTCTCCTCCAAGGAGACCAGTGCCCAGGCTCTAGTCCCAGTGTGGCCAGTATTCATCTGTGCTGCCATAGGAACCACACAAAGGATCCATGTAGCCACACCCTGTGCCCTCCCACACAACCACATAGTTTTCACATTCCATCCCAACACACAATGCTCTCACAGTCACGAGCACCCAGCCCTCTGTCAGTTCTCCTAGCCAGACTCAGGCGTCTCCTCTCAGCTGGATGCTGGGCGCATGGACACAAGCTGGCACAGCTGTGATGTATATCCAAAATGGCACCCACCCTCTCGGCTGTTACAGGATGCCAGTGCCGGGTGGTTGGGGAGAGAGGAAAGTGCCACCTTTTTTCTCTCTAGGCTGGCAGGTACACTGTTCCCCCACTGGGCTCCAAGCAGAACTCATGCCAGGCTCTTCCCACACCTTTATCACCAGTGACTTGGGCTGCTGCAGTCTGGTCTCACCTCACTCTCCAAAGCTGGTGCTGAGGCTCTCAGCTGCTGAGTTCCTGAGTTGTGCGTGTCCACACTCTCCACGTAGGTCCACAGTGTCCCTCTCTAAAATTTTCAGGTGTACAGTTTCTTCATAATTACCCAGCTATCTTAGCTAGATTTAATCATTCTTGGTAGTAAATAAAAGACTTAAAATAATGTTATACTTTTCTTTCCCCTTGGAGTTATTTTGTTTTACAACTCAATAATCAGAAAACAACACGAGAAGACCCTGAGCAACGCAAGCATAATCCATAATAAGGCAATGAAGATCCAAAATGATATTTATGAAAATGAATTCAGTAAGTTAGGGACAGTGAGCATGATAGGCTTCAGTGACTAGGGTTATATACTAGGGACATACAAAAATCAACCCTATCCCTAGATTGCATTGATACAAAATACAATATATTGTTCTCCTAATTATGTTGCATGCCACAAGAAATAACAGCAGCATCAAAGACCACTGAAAAACAGACTGGGACGTGAATCTATCATTAGACTCCCACTCAGATGGGATAGTGAATACTTGAGTAGAATGTTTAACTCACAGCGTGACACTTGACACTTGTAGCTGTGTCAGTCATAATGTTTTGGCATGAATAACCTCCTCAGCAACATTCATGAGTTCAGCACAAAGTGAGTTTATTTCTCCCAGAGAGCTGAAAGTGTGGCTGCCATTGAAGTTATGCTCATCACCAGTTGCCCTGCTAGGATAGCAAAGCAATGTGTGCCTGGTGAGCTGAAGGGAAACAAGCCAGAAAGTCAGGAAGGCACATGCCAGCAACACGCAGAAGTCTAGTCATGGCACATTATTAGGGGCTTCATCTCTAGTAGTTAGCAGTGAAGTAGTTTCATTTTAAAAAGGGCTGAAGCAGGACTGATAAAAACCAAGATTTCAAGAATTGATATCATTACAACAGTTTTTGATATATTCATTCTCTTTACTCACTGATTTTCTCAAAAGAATCATATTCTCACTGCTGTCCTACTGTCTGTCCTGTTGTCCGTCATATTCAATCAACAAGCATGTCATAAGTAGCCGTCATAGGAATCCTCTCCATTAAAAATTTGCGTCATCATGGCTTGGACTAAGAATTTCATCTCAGTGGTTTCTTACTGCACAGGTTGATGCATCTGGGTTCTTTGGCCTTATGTTGAAGATCTTCCAATAAGAGGCCTATGGAAGTCCCTTTCCAGCCACACCTCCCGCTGCTGTGGCACCCTGGTCTCAATTCTTTCTTAGGCCTCCATCCTCCTTCCAGAAATGTACTTTTCTCTGCCAATTCACCTATCTCTTCCCTTAAATACACACCAGAAGTTACTGATCTTATGAAGTCTTCAATGGGAATGCTCTGCTCGGATCCTTCCTCTTCTGTATCTCCTGTAGCAGCATGTTTCCCAGTTTTTTCTGACTCTCACATAGGCATGGCCCTGTATTACAATTGTTCCTTCATACATTCATGAAAACTCATTGCCTCCTAAACACAAAATCCTGTTCCATCCACTGTGACTTCTACACACACACACACACACACACACACACCTATCACCCATGTTCTGCTTCCTGGAGAACCCGAATAGAAAAATGCATAGAATAATTTTTAGATACATATAAGTGTATGAAGAAAACAGGTATTTTTAGAAGTTACTATGTTAGAAATCCTCTAACAAAAATCCATCTTGTTTAATATTTGTCATCCATTTCATCTTCCTAACTAAGTTAGTAAATCATATATGTTTTGTTTTGTTTGCCAAATGCATGTTATATTTTTTCAGATATATGCAAGATGAATTTGAAGTGTATGTAGTTAGATTCTTTTATTAAGGTGTTCATTAGTGCTAGATGTCAAAAGCTAAAAAACCTGTTGTTTAGGCATTGGTGAGTTTTCCAAATATCAGCAAATGAATTAAATATTTTCTAACTTTGCTATTACTTGTTTTGTCTTTTTTCTTGATTTTTTCTTCTTTTTGATCTATTATTGAAGTTACATGTTTTGTTTTAAATGAATTTAACACTAACTGCTTACATTTGAGATCAGAAACAGGAATTGTCTTCATCTCTTTTTTTTGGCTTCTGTTATCTACTGTTGGAGTTGGAGTTATCAAAATGACACAGTGAGCACACATAGATGTCTCCAAAATGTATTGCCGTTTCCAGTCAATAGCACTTGTTAACATGATGTTTTTGTCATACCAGTTGGTCTCAGAGCAGAGCCCAGAAGAAAGAAGACACAAGGCAGATAGGTATTTAGCTGAAAGGGAACATCTGTGGATGGTCGTGTCCATCCACGTGGACATCCACTCATGTGTCTACCCACAAGTTTAAAAAGTAACACGGATGAGCAGTAGAAGGAGGGCACTGATGACAAAGCCCATTGTCATCACAATTGTGTCCAGCCTTGTTGCCCACTCATCTAACATCTAGGTTGTTAAAGATCATTACTGTCCTCTGTTACACTGAAGGGTGCAGTATGCTAAAACCTCATATATGCTGGTCTACTGTTGCATTAAGGGCCAGAAACATCGTCAAGTGCCGAATTGTAAATGTCTGTGGTGCCTATGATTGAATGTATTTTTTTCCTGCATGATCATCCATTGTGGTGTTTCTAGGTAGCAAAAAAATGAGCCTGATTTGTTCTCCTTTGTAGAGCCAGGCCGAGGCCCACTACAAAGGAAGTAAACATGCCAAGAAGGTCAAAGCACTAGAGGCAACGAAAAATAAACCCAAAATGGTTTCTTCCAAGGACAGCGCAAAGGCTAACCCCAGCTGCTCCATCACTCCAATCACAGGCAACAGCTCTGACAAATCAGGTCAATGACACTTTTGTTCTTTGCATTCCTTGTGCTCACCCTTCTGCCCTGCCCCAACCCTTCTCCTCTCCCCTTAGTCGTTGCATGCTACTCTCCATGGTTTATTTTTGTAATATTAATATGCAGCCTTCACAAGAAGGATTATGTGTTTGCATGGAATCTAAGCATTTGATATGTTGCCATTTCATGTTGTTATATACATTTAAATATATATATGTGTATATGAACTATATATATATATAAGTATATATGCATGAAAGTACGTAGAGGCTACTTGGTAACAGTGTATTTAGACTTTTGTCAAGAAACCTTCCTAAAACACTGAGCGAATTATATTCCTTTCTACGTGTTTATGTTTGGTTTTTACCATAGACTTTTTCAGTGAAGGAATTCTTAAACTTATAAGTATTTTATATTCTTAGCCCAGTAAAGGTGAGTTGAGCGGGGGCGGGGGGGAAGATTGAGGTTTTCTGAGAGAGCGGCATTACTCAATGAATCTGAAAATGTGTTAAATAATAAAAGATTTTGACTTTTTAATAATTTCATAGAGTTCCCCTCAGAGTGACAAATGAGCTCATAGATTTTAAGGCAACCTTTATAAAGTTATGAATTGATTAATAGAAGAACTTTATATATAATTGGATATGAGCTGCTGGTGAAAGTACATCAAGAAAAGTCTGTATTTCATAGTCCCAGTGAATCAGCAATATTTCTGAGTTGGTTCATTCAGTGGAAAGAGAAAAAAGTCTTTTTTTTTTAATCCTGGAGACCGTGAACTTGGATGTTTAATAGAACATTCTCACCTCTACCCCACGGATGCCAGTGGCTAATTGAGCTACAGTGTCTTTTTAAGGAGGCAGAAACAAGAAGTCTCTTTGCCTTACATGACTTTGTTTTTAGGGACCTCTTCTTTGCAGAAAACACTCACACAATCTTCTGACCTGCTTCTGCTCTTTAAATCATTGTAGAATTTGAGGAGAAGGCTGAAGAATACTTTCCTCTGGCTTTCCAGGGCCTTTGGAAAAGAGGAAATCCATCATTACTATGAGAAGTTTCAGAAAACCTATTCAGATGAACAGACTACTTAAGAAGGGTCCTTGTTTAGGCCACATAAGTCTGGTTTGCCAAAGTTCCATAGCAAAAGGGGGTGAGCTAACCCAACTTTGGTAATAAAAGTTTCTTCTTCCTTATGGCATAGATGCACTAAACTCCTGTTATGACTAGACAACAAATACTAGATTATTGTTGGTACTTCTCCCCTCCTATAGAAAAAAAATCTTTTTACATATGTGACAAATCTTAAACCTGTATCTGTCAGATGTTGACATTAAAAATCACCTCCCTTTGCAAAATTACAAACCATGGTGAGGGACACGTTAGGGCAGCTGTTTGCTGGAGGTTACCCGGTGGTTGGAAAACAGGATCATCATCTCCTGACTTCCTGCCAGGTTTCATTTTTCACAAGATCATGTTGCTTCTATAAAACAATACTCTGCCAAAGATCTTATCACCTGCATTATAGGGAAAATGATAAAATAATAATGGAGGTTACTGTTAGTCCATTTTTTTCTAGTTATTTTGTGACTTGAGCTAACAGAAAAGTTGGTAGGTACTAGGAACTTCCAACATTGCTATTGAAAGTGCTCAATGCTCCATGTAAGTTATATTAATCTTGGGAGTTGGGTTGGTTCTAGGGAAAGTAGTAAAAGTAATGAGCAGGAAAAAGTGTCAAAAATGGAATTAGAGAAGGATGAGTAAGGGAAAAATAAGTAAAATAACTGAAGACCATGAAAGGAAAAAGGAAAGGTGAGGAAAGAGGAAAATAAAGTAGGAAAAAAAAGTCAAAGATTAGAGACTAGAACCAGAGAAAGAAAAATATGGAAGTGGAAAACCCAAATCAAAGGGCTGGCTTACACTCACAGCATGCCTTATCTCCACAAGGTGCCCCCTGAGTATCCATTGAAAGAAAATTTAACAATTCATGGTTTTTCTTCCAACATTTGAATGCTAACTGAAACTCAGTGAAACAATAGAGATTTCCAGAGCAACTGTGTTTGCCTGTGAGCAGTTGGGACACTCCAGGATCAAGTACAGCAGTGTAATGGCAAGGATGTAAAATAAGAACCCTGAAGGATGAGTGTGAGAGCGATGATAAACATCACAAGCCAGTATCTCCCAGTATATACCTTGGTAGTCTTTAATCTGGCCTTTACCATTCCCTCTGCCACTTCCCTACCCACCCACTCTCCATGGCACCTGTGGTCTTAACAGCATTGATATCCATCACCATGTAACTGTTCATATCTAAGTAATGGGAATCAACTGTATTTTGAGTTTACTTCCTTTTCCATGCTGCCTAACTCAAAAGCCGTGTAAAGTTTTTGACAAAACTCATTACTTGTTTCTCCACGTTTTGTGGAAGTATCAATACTAATAAAACATTTTCTTCTGTTACACCCACAGAAAACACCGAAGTCTAATTTACGATGGCACTATTTAGAAATAAAATGGGCTGCTGGCACTGCGGCACACTTGGTTAATCCTCCACCTGTGGTGCCGGCACCCCAGTTTCTAGTCCCAGTTGGGGCACCAGTTCTGTCCTGGTTGCTCCTCTTCCAGTCCAGCTCTCTGCTGTGGCCCGGGAGGGCAGTGGAGGATGGCTCAGGTCCTTGGGCCCTGCACCCGCATGGGAGACCAGGAGAAGCACCTGGCTCTTGGCTTCAGATTGGCACAGCACGCCAGCCGTAGCAGCCATTTAGGGGGTGAACCAAAGGAAAAAAGGAAGACCTTTCTGTCTGTCTCACCGTCTACTCTGCCTGTCAAAATAAAATAAAACAAAATGGGCTATATTTGCTAAATAGATATATGTTCTTTTGTCACCTCCAACTGTTTTAGAGAATTGTCAAGTTGGAAAATTAGGAGCTTTGCTAAGATGGGAAATCTGGACTAAGCAATGTAATACATAATGTATTATTAGCTACCTGTTTCTAAATCCTTAAAAAGCTCCTATAGCTTTGTCAGCTGGATTTCATTTAGTTGAAAACCCATTTTAGAAAAACAAAAGACACAAAAAACAGCTCTTCATAACGAGTCTGGGTAGAATGTAGCAAGGGAGACAATGGGAAAAGGAATGGTGACTGAGGCAATTGATTGAAATGTTTTATTTCAGACAACATTGACTGTAAGGAGGCAGCCAAAATTTTAAATAACAGTCATAGTAGAAATGCATGGTTGATTGGCAAATCTCATGAAACTGCCTAGTATTGGTCTTTTTCTTCTGAATGAAGAGCTCTTGTCAAGTGGGCTTAAACAGTATCTCTGTGATTCTGAAATTTTTGAATGAAAAGTGAAAATCTTCCTCACTCAGTGCCTCAGCTGCCAGATTTCAAACCTGCAGGCAGTTATAATATGCAGGGGATTCGCTAGTTCAGGTTTTAACTTCAATAGCTTCGCAACAGACTGCTGTTCGAGGATGGAGAATTTTGAGGGAAAGGCCCTATCCTGTTGAAAAGGAAGGGAGCTTCTGGGAGAGCAGCCTCCTGGGATTTGCTGAATATCAGTGAAGGTGAGGTGTGATCTCAGACAAGGAGCGTGGGGCCACAGGTGACATCTCAGTGCCCCTGAGAACACGCATTGTTTACTTGGAGAAGTAATCCACAGTCTTCCAAGAGCTGGGAAAGCCTGCTCACCTGCTGTTTTGGTAGACTTCTTTCTTTTATGTTGTATTTGAAGACGTGATTTGGCCCCTGTTTCATTTGGAGCTGTGTAATTTACAAAGACATTTTCTATAATGAAGTTCCGTTATATAAAAATTTTAGGGTATCATGACAAGCTTTCTGGTTTTTTTTTTTTTTCTCCCATCTTAGGTCAGTAAACAAAATGAGTTTGAACCAAAATAGCAGAAATTCCATTTATTATATGAACTAACTACTGGATTTTCAAAATTAAATATGTTTCATTAAAGGCAGTTAACTAAGAATAACTGTTTTGTTTATGTTTCAGAAGTTGGGGTGGACCTACATGTAAACTCCAAATAATTGGCTTTATGGTCTCCTAGGATCTGACCCAACTTTTAATGATGCATCAGTGGGAGTTTGTAGCATAGTGGGAGGGAAGAGAAATGTTCTTTGGAAGAATTAGGGTCAAAACACAGCAAGCATTAGGCAGCATCAGGAGGATGGCTAGAACATATTGGCCAGATACTCTTAGATTTCTCCCTGGAGTTCAAGTGTGATAATGCCATATGACAGCACATATCCCTGCAGTAATATGCCCTGTGCATCAGATTGAAGGCTGTTCTGTGACAGCATTTTACAACCAATAAGAAGTTCAAAAGATACGGAGCATTTGAAGAACCTTATTTCTTACTAGTAATAAAATACTCTAATAGTCAGCCTAATGATAAAGTATTGTGATAGGCAACCCAATAGTCCATATGTCCAAGCTTTAGCACTGAAGTTTTTAAAAATTACTTAGATATCAAGATGGGAGAAAACTACATTTCTAGTTTAAAGTGTATAAAGCTATTTCTAGTACATCAGTTGCTATCTAAACAAATGAAAGCATAGGGGAAGATTCAGAATGCCATGGGTACATTTATAGGTATAATTAAGAGCAAAGATGATGGAACCAGCCGGTTCTGATTGAAATATAATAATAGGAACAACTTAAATTTGTTCAATTTTCATTTAACCCTTTCAAAAAGTCTGTTATAGGGAGGACTGAAATTAACATCCATCCTTTAGTCATTCATGTGACAGATAGTCATTATCTATATGAAGTAGCGTAATATATGTATATTTTTTGCCAGATACTAGGGTGCAACAGTGAACAGAAGGACATTTTCTTGCCCTCCAAGTGGCTTCTAATCTTATGGTGTTGTATTTGTTTACTATGTTGGATATTAAGGATATAAAGAGAAATAATATATAATCATCATTTTTTAAAAAAAGATTTATATATTTTATTCAAAAGGCAGAGTTACAGAGAGAGGGAGAGAC